AGACCTTAATGTCCTGATAATTCTCCTTGCTTCAGCTTCTTAATATCCTTTTCAAAACAAAGTGGCCAGAATTGAACATAGTACTCCAAGTGCAGAGTAATCAATGATTACAACCCACAATCTGATTTCAATGCAAGATTGTATCAGACCTTTGTGCGGCTGCATCATTGCTGGCTCATATTCAGTTGGGGATCCAGTAGGACCCCTAGAACTTCTCACATACGCTACCATCAAGCAGGTTCTCTGCAATCTTTTCCTACACAGATGAACAACTTTACATTTATCCTCACTGAATAACTCTTATATTTGTCCCAATATTCAAGCCTTTTGAAATAATTTTGAATTTGTTTTTTAAGGCGTTAGCTATTTCCCCTAGCTTGTATTTAAATACTGAAAAACTATGTCTAGGTATTATAAATTCTGGACTAAAGCAAGCAGAAGTCTGAAATGTGCAACCTCTTTCTCGCCACATAATAAATTTCCTATCATTTAAAAAATTCGCAATAATTAATGGCACCGAAGTCCTGTCTCCAAAATTGCTGCACATCTTTTTTTGCATCCTGCTAGCTTCTGAGATTTTACCAAACTTGTTCACAAACTTGCAAGCGTGTATTCTCAGCTGTGAGAACAAAGAAGAGATTGCTGGGCTTTCAGGCCCAATGCTCAAGCCTCCTGAAATAATTTTGAATTGTGATTTTGTTCCTTAAGATGTTAGCTTCTTTACTTTTCTTTTATTATTTTTTCTTAGTCCATTAATATTGAGTCGCCTCTAAAGAAAAAAAAAACTAAAAATTGTCTGAATGGTGCATTTACCAGTTTACCACTTTCTGAGCTCCCACAGAATTATAGATGAATAGTGACTGAAGAGAGCAGTGAATGACATATATTCTGCATGAGAATTGAAAGAAAAGCAAAAAAAGCAACAGCAGCAAAGATGCTGGGTGTTCCAGAGACTTTTTTTAAAAAAAGAGGGTTCTTGCTTACCTCGCAGGTTTTTGATGAAGTCATCCAGCTTCATCTTCCTCTCTGCTTTGACGCTGGGGCTGTACATGTCCGTGTTGAGAAGGATGATGGCAAAAGCCAAGATGAAGATGGTGTCAGGGTTCCGAAACTGGCGCACCAATGGGGCATTGCATACACAGTAGCGCTGGCTGGAAGAAACGGGGTTGAGGTTATGACAAAGCAGCAAACAATTCAGAGGTAAACAAATCACACACTCTTCAGTTCTCATGAACTATACACTGGGCTCAAGCCATATAGCCTATCATGGAAAAAAAATATTTGTGACAGATACTAGCTGAACCTCTAAATAAGCCTGTTAGCCATGAATTTGCAGGTAATATATGACTATATGGGCATATTAGCCTATTTATCAGTTTTACCGTATAAAATTAATCTTTATAATGTTAATCGACTGAAAGTTTAGATCATGAATCTTTGGATTAATCTAATTAATACAGCCTTATGAACTGATTCATATATCAAAGTAGTCAAATATTAATTGGTAATTTATTTATTGTATATGTCACCCATCTCATAGTTCAGGGAAACTCTGAGTGGCTTATTCCTGGATTAATCTATTATTAAGCCTTTGTTTAGTTGACAGACTTGGTTAATATTCAGAATACATTATCTCAATATTGAAGCCATGGATCTCCCTCCAAACAGCAGGAGTAAATGAACAAATGAGTATTTTTGTGTCTATAAATTAAAAAGTCTTTTTTTTTCCTGAACTAACTTGGACTAAAATGCAGTCCCTCAAGATTAACTTGTATATACAAGCACAGGACATTGATGGAAAAAATATTTTACTGAAAAAAATTCTAGATTATTTTCCCCATTTTACAATAAATAAAATGCTGAATTCCCCACTAATAGCCTTATACATCAGTTCCAATTCTATATAATGCATTTTTATACTCTTTCCGTTGTATAATGAGGCACTTTAAAAAGAAACAAGGCTAAAAATAAACAGGAATAAAAATATAACAAATGAAACTAGATCTTATTATTTTTTCAAGTCTTTAAAATGCCTGAGATTTTCCTTAACGAGTTAAATAAGTGCTTACTCCATGATCTTTGATAATTTGCCTATTTATTATGTTTTAGAGGATTCCACAATGCTTATGGCAAGCAAAACAAAATCAAACTATATCATATCATGCTACAGGAAAAATGTATTCCTAATGTCTAATAAAATGACTCGTCTAACAGATTTGATGGGTGGGTGAAATATCTTCTTACCTCCAAATATGGACATTTATCAGGCATAATCTTTAACTGAGACAGTATTGCCCAAATCAAACTACTATAAAGTCTTCAGCAATAGTTCCTTTTAATTTTGAGATATGGTTTGTGAATTCAGGTATCATACTAAACCATATCTTTCTCTTAATTATGGATTAGAATTGTAAGGGTTTAGGATAATCTCTGAATAATGTATATGTATTTATATTTATGTATCATGTACTTTGACTTATTAGCTGTCTATATTCATAATCATCTTTTAGTTTAAAATCCTCAATGGCCAATCTAGAAACATTTAAATATTGTTCTTCCATGTATAATTATCCCCACCTACCTACTTTAATCTCAGAGCTCCAATGCTGAAACACCAGTTCCTGGTAAACCCTGCAACCATTAGTTAGAAATAAATACTGACTATCTAAGAAAATGGAGATTACTAACAGGCGTGTAACAGATTGTGCTTTTTTACATCTGCAGCAAAGCTCATTTTGATTTAACTTAACCAGGAATTCCAGAGTCACTCCAAAACCTGACTTCATATTTTCCACTGAAGAAGTGTAAGTAATATTAAAAAGTAACATTAAAAAGGGTAGATTTTGTGAAGGTGTTTCACTATGAATGCAAGGCAATTAAGACAAATGAGGCGGGAGGGACTGGTCCATAGAGAGGAAGCTTATATTCTCAAGGCTACTCCCAGTATTTAGGGAATTAAGCTTCATTTCTGAGCATGCTTTCCCAAGTGAACTACATCTCTTTACTCTGACTGTCCAATTCTCTTGATCTCTGCTTTTTAAAGTAAGTTTTCCAGTCCTGCAATTATTTCATAAAAGTGCAGCTGGTAGTAGAAAAAGAAATAAGCCATGCTATGGTGTTCTTAAAGATTAAGTTCTGCACCTTAAGTCTGACAAATTACTTCACTTGTTCAAGATGAATGGCTGGAACTCTTATCGCACACTGGCCTGTGGTGCATTGTCTTTCTCTACAATGGAAAAAAAGACTGCATTTTCTTTTAATGTGAGCATCTTTTCAGCGTGTGAGTGAATGGCTTTGTCAGGCTCATACATTCCCATTCTACTCTGGTAGATGGACTGAGTGGATGAGACTAATGCCAGTGGACACAGGCAGGCAGGCAGATTAGACACATCGCAACATGTGGAAATACACCGTGGAAATGAGTCTGCACACCTAGGAGACTTGCTCCAATGTTTTACTGTCTCTAAAACCTATGCACAAGAATCAATACACAAATAAACCCTTTCATTAGCAAAACCGTCATCTTTAGCCAGCCTGATATTGCAAAGAACCAATTAGCAGAATATACCAACAGGCTAGTATAACAGGAAATCCTGCAGGAATCATAGTTGAGGAACAAAATTTTATCCAAAGTATTGGAATTACAACTTCCACTAATCATATCCAGCATCATGAATGTTTGTTAGGTAGGACAAATGACTAAACATACATGATGATATTATGCAAGCAATATAAATTAGGTACTTTCATCAGACATTGGGACCCATAATCATGGAATTTACATGATGCTACTATCACATCTTGGAAGTGGGCAATACAAGTTCACAGGGATTCTGGGACAGAGCTATATGTTTCTATTGCCTGTGGTCTGTTTTCTAGACTAGTCTCTCTTCCCCATACTTCCAAATGCTAAAGAAAACTGTGGGAAAATGGTCCCACCTTCAACGTACCTGAAGGCCTCAATGAGACGCTCCACCTTCTGGGCCTCACCTTGCACCCGAATGTGTGATTGGAACTTTCTCAGGGCATCATCCAGGTCCATGCTGGAGAAGTCCATCTCATCTACAACACAACTATGAAGCAGAAAAATACAGGGAAGGAAAAGAGATATATTGGTTCAGTATGAATAAGGTTGAGCATCGGGAGACTGTGAGTTCTAATCCCACCTTAGACACAGAAGGAGCTGGGTGACCTTGAGCTAGTTGCTCTCTCAGCCCTAGGAAGGAGGCGATGGAATGCCACTTCCAAAAAACCTTGCCAAGAAAACTGTAGGGACTTATCCAGGCAGTCACCAGGTGTCAACAATGACTTGAAGGTATACACACACAAATCAGTGGTGGTATGCTACCAGTTCAGCCTAGTTCGGGTGAACCGGTAGTATAAAATGCTGCCGTTCGGCCAAACCTGTAGTAAAAAAACAGCTACCGGTTCAGCTGAACTGATATTTCTTTTTCCCCCCCCTCCCAACAATCAGCTGTCCCGGGATCCCCCTTGCTGTCTTACTGCTCTGCCCAGGAGGCTTCCCTGAGGCCCAGGAGGCAAAAAATAAAATAAAAATGGAGCATGGGGTGGTGGCTGCTGGATGCTGCAAAAAAAAAAAAAAAAAGCCATGCCCACCCAGTCACATGGCCACTCCCACCTAGCCATGCCCACCTAGCCACACCCACAGAACCGGTAGGAAAAATATTTGCATCCCACCCCTGACACAAATGTATAAGGATATTCCTTCCCCTGTCCATCTTCATTTCCAAGCCTCTTTTTTTTACTTCCTTTAAAATGCTCACATAAACAGTAAGGCCTAATTTGGAGAAACTCTTAGAAACCCCTTCACAATTTTTAGGAGCAGACGTAAGAAAGGAAAGAATGAATCCCTTTATTTAACTATTTTTTTCAGCACAAAATGCACTACATCCCAAATTAGTAGAAGAGTCTTCCAGAGACATCATTTAGAACAGGGGTGTCCAACCTTGGCAACTTTAAGACTTGTGGACTTCAACT